GACATTGGTGCCACATAATTATTATGCATTGATCAAAACAAAGCTGTTTATATGGATAAATTAGTAACAAACTATAAATACATATGGATACAAGGCATACATATATGTGTATGTATGTATGTGTGTATATATATGTATGTGTATATATATATATATATGATGTATGAATATAAATATAGATTTATAGGATATCTCCATCCATCCATGAAAAAAAAATAGGTTTCTACTATGGGCAGAGAGAAGAAACCTTTAATCAGCTTTTGACTTTGGCAAGTTCCTCAGAAGTCCTGAAACACAGAAATGCCAATATCCTTTAAGCTGCTAGAATCCTGTCTGCTTGTACAGACGCAGAGATTGGAGATGGGTAATTTATTGCTTCCTGAGGCATCTTTGGACAGTGGAGACAATTAGGAACCTCTACCTTATCCGCAACTGAAATCTGTCATCCTGTGGCTTCCCTCCACTGTCCCACCTTCATTTCCTGTAGCCACACAAAACTGGATTCCCTTTGTAATAGGATGGTGCTTCATATATGTATCCAATGATGTGTCCCCCAGGACTTCTTCTCTCCAGGGAATACGTCACTGGTTCCTACTATGCCTCAAAGGACACAATTAGGAGTCAAGAATACAATGTTCCGATTTATAAAGCAAATACGTGTAAAGGCAGTATGCTAACCTCATCAATAGGCTGAGTCATAGTGATTTAAGCTATTTATGTGATGACGAGCAGACAACTATTTATGTTTCAAAGGTAAGTTTTATCTATTATTTTGACCAAATCAGGTAATAATGTCTTCTACACTAATGAGATTCCACTTGATTTAAAATAGAAAACTGGCTTACTTGTAACATCATTCTATTGAGGGAAACAAATAGATGACCACAGACAAGAAAACATTTCAATTAGTATTTCATCCCTAGAATACATATTCATGTTGTTCTTTAAAACACAGCTAAGGTACCATTGCTATGCATAGACACAGATCTTTAAATTACTTCCTTCTCTTTGTGAAGCAACATTCCCGAAATCTTCTGTCGACTTTCATGGGCTGAATCATCTTTTAGTTCTTCTTAACAATGCTAATCTCTGTTTTATACTTCAGACTTGGCAGAGCTCTAAATGTTGAAGTTGAAGTTACCGTGTCTCTAAACTTACTTCCATCTCCCCTAAAAACTCAGCTTTAAAACCACATGAGAAAGTTCTTATATATATCATATTTGAGGTTGCAAAAGTGGCATGCTTTTTTTCTCTTCCACTTCTCTTACACATATATTATTTCACTATTTTGCTCAAAATGGTCATTCTTACCGCCATTTTTTGTAGACCATTAGTTTAATTCAACTTTTTATTTTAAAATAATTGTAAATTCACATGTAATTGTAAGAGATAATTCAGAAGTAGGGCACATTGGCGTATACCCATAATCCCAGCGGCTCTGAAGGCGGAGACAGGTGGATCACCAGATCAAAGCCAGCCTCAACAATTTAATGAGGCCCTAAACAACTCAGTGAGACCCTGTCTTTAAGTAAAATGCAAAAAAAAAGAGCTGGAATGTGATTCAGTGGTTAAATGCCCCTGAGTTCAATCCCTGATACAGAGAGAGAGAGACAGAGAGAGAGAGAGAGAGAGAGAGAGAGAGAGAGAGAGAGAGAGAATACAGACAGATCCTGTGTACCCTTTGGTCTCCTCCCCATGACAAAATCTTGAAAAACTATTGTACAATATCTCAGTCAGAATAATGAGATTGATAATCAAAATATACAATATTTCCATCACAATGGGAATCCCTTCTGTTGATTATATAAATATATATCTTATTACACATATAGAGCACAAGGTAGTATATTCACACCAATTTGTGTCTTCATACATGTACTTTGGATAATAATGTTCATCATATTCCACCATCATTTCTAACCCCATGCCCCTTCCCTTCCCCTCCAACCCCTCTGCCCTATCTAGAGTTCATCTATTCCTCCCATGCTCCTGCTCCCTATCCCACTATGAATCAGCCTCCTTATATCAAAGAAAACATGAGACACATAATTCAAAATCCAGAAAGTTTTTAAAATACAAATTTTGGGGTGCTATAGAAGCTATTGGTTGAAAACAACAGCTTAGGCAGGTTTGGTGGAGTATGCCTGTAATCCCAGTGGCTTGGGAGGCTGAGGCACACGAATCATGAGTTTAAAGCCAGCCTCAGTGAGGCCTTAAGCAACTTAGTGAGACCCTGTCTCTAAATAAAAAATAAAAAAGGCTGGGGACATTGCAAATATCCCTGGGTTCAATCCCCAGTACAAAACAAAAAACAAAACAACAGCTTAGGAATCTTTTTTTAAATTAATGATCAATCATATCGATCGTTTGGTAACTATGCAGTGTTTTTCAAGTCTCTTAATCTCTCTGTGCCTGTGTCTCCTCACAAATAAGAATACTAATAGAAATGTCTTTATTTGATGTGAGGTTTAAATGAGATCACTGTAAAACACTTTCAGACATTAAATTCTGATGCATGAGAAGCACAGAATAAATGGTAGTTTACATTACAAGTTTTGCCCCTTCCATTTAGTTATGTATGTAAACACATGGGAAAATATCTTACTTTTTCTCTTTCCCATCTCCAAAGCCATTTTCTTGGGTAAAACCCTGTTTCTTCTTTTATTCCAAGCCATATGCTCCACATTCTCAGGTTTCTTATTTTAAAATATTTATGGGTCCCACCATGTTGAAAAAGTCATATAAATTCATCCAAACTCTTCATGTTTTTTCAAAATACTAAGTTCAATGAACATAATTTTCTCCTAGGCATAATGCAGGTAGGGGCCGTCTTAAAGATAAGTTAGGCTCACTCCCTGATTTTTTATGATAAAAGACTGAGATGCCCAGATGGAATGTGAAAGATGCAATCTAGCTTTTTGTTTGGGATTTCATCAAGCTCTCTGTTTCAACTCAATCAAGAGACCAAACTCGAGTCTGCTTGATGTCCCACACATTCATCCAAATTAAATGAGAATGTAAAAATATTTGAGCTGAGTAGTGGCAATAAATGAAACAAAATGAGCTGGATTTTCCCATTTTCAACCAATGTCTTTGACATTACTTAAATACAATATGCCTAAATGTTTTTGAATTGTGGTCCTAAAAATGTAAGCAGGCATTTTTAGCAGGTGTAGCCAGAGATTGCTACTGTAACTATGCCAATCATCTCCACTTGCAATCCTCAGGAGTTTTATATATCTTCTCCTATCCTAAAGAGATATTCTTTATTAACTTTGGAAGGAGAGATCAGTCTAAACCAGGCACAGGGCAGGAAGGAGAAGAGAAATGAATAGTTGGGCAAATTTAACATACAAGAGAACAGGATCTTGCCTCATTGTTCGTGACTATCTTTCAGCACCTAGGACAAAGCCAACCTGCCACAAGAGGCCTCAAAGCACTGACTGAGCAGGGAGAGGTTTTTGAATTGTTAAGCCACAAAGGTAGTAGGGTTGAGAGATGGACTTTGGGTTACACAGGCAGAGCTACTCTGATATCCAGACAATAAATGTTAGAAAGCTGATAAAGAGGCCAATCACTTCTCTGATATCGATGGACCTGGGAATTTAAGGATCATCTGGAGATGGTACCCTTGGTAGAAATGATGGTCTTCTTACAGTGGCCATTGGAAGTGGTTCATTATAAGAGTCTTGGAAGAAAAGAACATAAAGTGGTGTGTGAATCAAAACACAGGGCAGACTGGTATGGGCACACAAAGAAACATTCTTTGAGATAATAACTCCCCAAACTACAGGGTACTGTTAGGGAACCATCTTTGCAATCAAAAACATGGAAGTCAAGGTGTACAATGGCTTATATCATTAAAATTAGAGTGTTTAAAAAAGTAATGATCAAATATATAATTATAGCTAGCAGCTTCTGGGACTTGAGGCTGTTTACTCTATTTTCAAAGACCTAGGAAGGTAAACTTGTACTCTCTTTCAATCCACATGTGAAGTTTTTGGAATTTAATCAGAATTTCTAAAAGATAATGTTCTCTAAACCATACAAGTTTTCCCTTTGAAAATATCATGTCAATTTAGAGCAGAACCTATGCCTCAGTTTTATAATCAAAGAGCATTATTACAGAAATGGCAATATTTTCCTCGATGTCAAACACATAAAAAAAACATGTAAACCTTGGTCAAAATGGGAATACCATCCTTAAACTTTTAAACTATCTAGAAATACAACATTAACAAATGTCCTTACTTTTGTAAGACTTTCATGGTTCTCTACAGGAAATACTGCTTTCTTAGATTTTTTATTTTAAATTTTTTTTAGTTGTTAGTGAACCTTAATTTTTTAATTTATTTATATATGGTGCTGAGAATTGAACCCAGTGCCTCACAAATGGTAGGCAAGCACTTTCACACTGAGCTACATCCCCAGCCCTGCTTCCTTAGATTCTTTAGTGACACAGTTACAGGAAGTGAAAACTGATGCATATGAGCCAGGCATTCAGGAAACATTTGCCATTGGCAAACACTGATCACAGACCAGGAAGCTTCACTTTTCCAACAAAGGAGTAGTCTATTACAAATTTCCAAAATTCTTTGCAATTCTATCAAGAAGAGGATACCACTTCTCCATCCCACATTCAATATGGAATGGCCTTGTGACTTCCTTTGACCAACAGAATGAAGCACAAGTGAAATTTCTGCTTTTGCCCTCTTGGAACATAGCCAACATGGGGATAAGCCTGGGTTAGTCAATTTAAGGACAAATGAACATGTGGAAAGAGACAAGGTAGTCAAGATGAGCCCCAGAATGTGTTAATCTCAAATTGTTTATTCCTAGGTAAGCCATCTAGACTAAAAACTATTCAAATAACTTGTAGAATTTTTAAAAGTGATAAAAGAGTTGATTCAACCCAGTAGGTTATGAGTTAGTTATGCATCAAAAGCCAACTCATAACAAAGGTCTCAGAAAGCAGGTGGGTGAAAAAAGTTAGCACTTACATTGGTCTTTGGTGGCTCAGTTATGTTTCCTCTCCTCTTCTCATCTGAGTCCTATGCAAAAGAGAGAGAGAGAGAGAGAGAGAGAGAGAGAGAGAGAGAGAAAGAGAGAGAGAGAGAGAGACAATATTAAACATTAATAGACATTTTCTTCCACATTAGCTCATATCTGCCCCTCCCTTCCTGCCAAGGAATCCAACACCAATGTCTAGAGGCTCAGGCCACCACAGCTGGCTTCTCATGAAGCCATTCAACTCCAGCCCTAACTCCCAACTTTATTACTCATTGTTTGTCTACTTCCTGATAGGATCAGTACTTCTGGAAGATCTGATAAATTCACCTAGGATAAGAAGTAAATTACTGATAAGTCTTGGATCTTTACCTTAACAGCAAGACCTTAGCTGACTGCATTGAGAAAAATCTATGGGTTTACCATCAAATAGACTTTGAATCAAATCCTGACATAACACCACCACCATTACACTGAGCTAAATGGCTCAGGGTAAGAGGCTTACGCTCCCTTATGTCATAACTTTCTTATTCAACAAAATGGGTTATTACCTACATTTTCATAGTGTTTGTGAAAATCAGACATATTGAAGTATCTCAAAGACTGGATCTTCTAGGTGAACACAAAATATTATCAAATTGCTTCCAAAATGATTGTACCAATTTACACTCCTATTATTATCTACATAGTTCTGTCTTCCCTGGTGAATATCGCAGAACCCTTTAGACTTGATCATCTGTTCTATCTTTCATGCCCAGGACTAAATCCAGTGTTGAACACTAAGTTAGTTATAATAAATGTTCTTTGACTGAAATTTTTAAATGGTTGGACTTTTAATCCATGTTCTAGAAATTCCTAAGCCTGTACTCTGCTTCTTCCTGAAATGCAGGTCCAATATTAGCTAAAACGTAGTTCAGGAAAAGTCCCATTCCCCACTTCATCTGACAATATCCTCGCTCAAATATGAGGTGCAACTCCATCTGTATTTACAGACCTCACTCACCACTCCATGCTTGCATAGACTTAATAATCTTTAATTTTATTAACATGGCCAGGACCAATAAATGCTATTGCTTGAATGATATTTCCATAAATTAGCTGTGCTATAAATTAGCTTTAAGACATTGAATACATTCCTTACATCTGCAATTTCTGCTTCTCTAATGTAAGAACAGTAATAGAACCTGCTGTACAGGACTAGAGATATTAATTAAGATAAATCAAATAAGCATTTTTAGCATACTGTTGAGCACATAGTAGGTAATTAATAAAAAATATTTCTTCCAGAAGAGGATATGACTTTAGGAAAGAACTGGATAATTCCTCCAATAAATCCTCTTCAAAGATGCCCAAACTTGGGGGCAGAAGGAAGGATTTGACATGTTGAAAAAAAAGGCATTTTTTTCCAGGTCATTAAAATGCGAAGCAAACATCAAACTCAGAAGTGGTTTAACACAGTGTGAAACAGACACAAAAAATATTCTCCTTTTGTGGGATTGGACAAATCCATTTGGAGGACTATTCAGATCCTTGTCATAAACAAAGGGTGCAGAAGAAAATTTTGGCCTTGAGTTATTCTCACCTTGTTAGGCTATGATCTATAATAAATGAAATTTGAGACCCAGTACATAGATGGCAACATGGGATGGTAATTAATTATATTTAAGCTTTAAAAGTAGCATATATTGATGTGTGTCACCATAACCTCCTGTAATCCCAGCAGCTTGGAAGGCTCAGGAGGAGGATTGCAAGTTCAAAGTTAGCCTCAGCAGCTTAGTAAGGCTCTGAGCAACTTAGCAAGACCCTGTTTCTAAATAAAATAAAATGTATGTATGTATGTATGTATGTATGTATCTATCTATCTCTATCTATGGGGCTGGGAATATGGGTTCAAACCCTGATACAGGAAAAAAAAAAAACACAGTAGCATATCCACCACTGTCTAATTCCACTCAAAATAACTGGGTGAATATACATATAGATACATGTTTTTAATCTAAAATCTTATTCAAAAGGGCTCATTAAACAATTGGGTCTAAATGGTAAATCATCATTAAAGCAAATAAATACAAACACATCTACTAGTTTCAACAAAACTCATTTCAATGAATTAGGAGCACTAAGTGATGAGGGAGAGTTCTTACAAAGACAATGTATTGACTTTCTCAAAGGAAAATAATTATTAACCAGTACTTGACTTTTGCAACGACCAAGTTATACAGAAAAGTATTAGTAAAGCATAATTTCAAACTGTGGTCATTTCAGCAAGTTCTTGAGCCTCCTTTTTTCTCAGTGATTAATAATGAGGCATTATTATGTAATAGTGCTTATAACTATATCTAAAGGGAGTTAATTCATTTTAAGATAGGTTACATAAGAATAAAATTAATTGGAGACTATTTACACATATATCCACAGTGGGATTCATTTAAATCATGAAGTTGTTGTGCAATTAAAATATAATTTGAAGTAACCAAATTGGTCTGCACACCACGTTTTCAGAAATAGGGTACCAAACTAAGTAGCATGTATAAAAGAAAGAAATGTCAGGCAAGGCCTCAGAGATCCTAAAATATACAAGGAATAAATTGGGGTGTCTATCATACTATAGGAACAGAAAGTAGTGCTGTGCAGGAAATCTGTGGATTCCTTGAAGGCCCTCAAAAGTCTGCCCTATTGTGAACCTATACCTACTTCTATTGACTTTTGATCTCTAGATTCAGTAGTGTATTTTTAGATAGGTATCCTAACAAAATTATATAGGAGAACTTTGTCAGGTGACTTAGTGCCTAGGGTGAAAACTCAGTTTCATCTTTGCTGTGGTTGGAGGGCAAGAGCAGAGAGAGGTCATCATTTTCCTGTAGCTACGGGTATAATAGGGTGACCACATATGCCATTGCACCCAGAGCCATCACATTTTGCACCTATCTTCCTGATAGTTGTCTGGAATTCTTTTTAGGACAAAGTAGTATTATTTAGAGTTTCAGTGAAAAGGTTATGGGTGATACTAACAGATCTCTACTTCATATTTCAGACATCTGACAGAATTTTTCTAGTGGTGTGTGAATAGTGACCAGAGTTCTTGCCTTAACATGTGGCTAAATTCAAAAGACTAATACTACAACCTCTGTCATCTTTCCTGAAACTTTTCTGATGCAACATAATTAATACTTCACTTTCAAACACACTCTGCTGGGTCCTGATAATGAGATATTGTAAGGTTCAGTAGTGCTGGGATACTGACTCAACACTGCTGCTCTACTGACCACTTAGTCACCAGTCAGATATGCCATGTTCTGGGCCATGGCCTGAGAGATAAGCACAGTCACAAAGTTACCAGTTAACAGACACAATGGAAAGTGTGATTGACACATAACATGCACACAGGCAGTAGATGCTCAGAAGTCCTATTGCTGATCATAGAGCATATGAAGAATATGACAATGGTCATTGTCACAGAAACTTCAGAAAGAAAAATGTTAATATCAATGCATACTCTTTTTTTTGTACAGGGGATTGAACCCAGAGGTGCTTAACCACCTGAATGAGAAGGCAAAGTGACCTACAACAAGGATAGGGGTGCAAAGGAAAAGCTTCTCAGATTAGCACACAGCTAAGTTGGGTGTCACTAGGAAAATTCATACACATGCACACACATATACACACTTACATCTATTGGTTTAAAAACAAGCTTAGAATCTTGGATACTAGTGAAAATGACTCAAGAAGGAGGAGAATTTTTTCTTTGCCTCTCATAGAAAAGTTTTTTAGTCCCCAAAGATGTCCAAGACAGAGAGTATTGAGCTATGCCTTCCAGCTTTCACAGAAAGCACAAGGACCTGATATCTAAGAGACTAGAGCTCAGAAAGTTCAACTTCTCTACTGAAATGCTTTTCCCTGTGTACTTTTGCCTCTAAAAATTTCCGGTTAAGCCTTGAGCAGGTGGGTTTAACCAACCTGATGCGACAGGAGAAATGGCTGCAGTAATCTGCAAATATGCACAGGAGCTGGAGAAAATCTTCTCTTGCCTCTGGCTCTGTCCTCAACCCAGGTTTCTGCTATAGGGTCCTGAGTACGGGGAATAATCATGCTCACACTTTCCTGAACATTTTTGGCTATAGTATTGGCTTAATTCCATCACTATGTGAGCATTCTTTTCAAGTCCAGGAAGGGCTGTTACATGGGGAAGTAAAAACTGGTTCTGTCTTACTAATGAGGACAAAATTTGAAAGAGAGGATAGAATTTTAAGTAGAGAGACTTTATTGCGACCTTTTCAAAAACTGATCTCAGAACACTGAAAACAAATTCTCCTGCATGATAGGAAGTTTCCAACCCCCGGAGGCATTAAGGCAACAGATGCTGACTTGTAGGTGATGTTGCATAAGACAGTATTCTCCTGTGAGGAAGTTCAACGACTTCTGTGGTTCTTTCCATCTCTAAGAAGCTAGGAACTGTTTTACTATTCAGTAATTCATTACAAAAGAGCCACTGGTTGCCGAAGAGAGAAAATGTGATTTCTCTGAGGTGGCTAGACTGACACTCCATCATAAAAACAGTCTGTGTTTATTGTGATAATGATAGTGGTTGGGTCAGAGGTTTTTCATATTACCTACATCAAAAGTTTCAAGTTTTGGTTACCTCTTTTGAGTCTCAGGGTCCTCTCTGAAATGTGAGCATTATAAAGCCATGACAATGAATCCCAGTGGTTTTCAAGCTATTGGATTCAATGTATCCTTTTGATAATAAATTTCTTGAAATGTTTCTTTACTACCCTGAAATGAGATTCATAGACAATATATCCTACCCTATATACACAATCTCAAAACAAATAAATAATGCCATACAGTACTCAGAGGAGTAAAATGATAGTAATTTATAATAAAATAGTGTGTATTTCAGTAAGTAAATAAATGGGTACAACTACACTAAATACACAAAGTATTCAAACATGTATCCTACACGTAGAATCACCATGAATAGAGTAAATGCAGACTGATTCCAAGAGCTTCTTTAAAACCCACAGGCAGCACAACCATTGATATCTGATTTTCT